CAAGTCACCGGAATAATGCCGCGGTTATCCGCGGACGCCCTCCATTCGAGCGTAATTTGGCGAATGATGATGGTGGTGGCATCATGGCGATAATGACCATGGCAACGATGACCCGACGATGATGATGATCACGAGAAGGCACATGAAGAGGAGGAGGAAGATAAGGATGATCACCATCACAACGAACGTGAAGGGGAAATCAAAACGAGACATGCACGGAGGACGGCGGCGAATGAGCTAGATTCTCCCGGATCGCTCGTGGCGACGTCCACACCGCACGACGCCCACACCGCATTGAAAGTACCAGATGAACAGGCCGCCATCAGGCACGAGCCCTAAACGGCCCCAGGGGTGCACGCAACATCCAGACGCAGAAACTCACGGGGGGACAACCAGGACAGGGGAAGCTGTCAGACGAGGAGAACAACACGAGAACGATGCGAAGGAATAGGAAAATACCACGAAAACGAAACCAGAGGACGACCGAAGCGTTGCATCACAAAGCTGCGCGTTGCGCAGCCTGGCATCGCGCAGTGGAACACAACGAAACACCGCACTGAATGGCATGGCGTGACACCCGGCTTCTTGGCGGGTAAGTGCATCGATTTTGAACGACCAGGGCCCGTCTGGAGTGACGGCTTCACGTCCTGCTCCCTGGGCCCCCGAAGCTCTGCACGAGGCGGGACTGATGGAAGGAACAAGCGGGCACATGCCGAAGGCACTCTTATAGCAGCTCTGGGCAAATTTCCTGGGACTCATTCGGGCCAACTCCAATAACTTGGACTCGTTCTTTTCGAAATGCGTCAGGAAACTGAACTCCAAAAAAAAGCTGGCCATCATGATTTTCCTTTCAGTATTCCCAGCGTTCTTTACCAAGTTGATCGTGCATGCGTGCACTTCGTCCCGCTTATTGAAAGGACTATGACAGTGCATCCGCGCCATCGCCTTACATAGGTTGTTGAAAGGCTCTGCGCCGAACCTGTCTTTTTTCGTTTTTTTCTGCCGAAGGCCTCTGCACCGAAACTGCCCCGGCAAGTTCCTAAATAAAAAGCATTGGCGTGCGAACCGGCCATGAATGCGAATTTCTGACTGTGCACACTCTTCGTCCCTCAATATGCTGCTCTTCTCAAAAAGGGTGCGGATAATCATGGAAAGCAAAAATAACGCCTTGTGGTAATTTCGAGTCCATTGCCCCAGGGCAAACGCTTTGGTACGACGAGAAATGTGCACAATGTGAGTCCCTTGTTTGATCTTCCGCTTGTGAAGCCGACGTGTCCGTTCAGAAATCCGCTACCGTGCCTCGAGGCACGAAATGGAGAATTCTCCAGGTTCTCATGCGATCTCTGTCTTATATCCGTCAGTAGACGGCCCAGCCCGCCGGCCACCCAGAAGAGCCCGTTCGGCCGCGCAAGGCCCGCACTAATCATCAAATCCTTCCCAAGACCGTCGAGATGGCCCGAAATGGATCCCACACTGTCTTCACAATGACCACTATGGTCTCCAAGACGGCCCAAGACGGCTACAATGGCTCGACGATTCTTCCGATATTTCCCAAATTGGACACGAAACGGCCTAAGACGGCCTCCGATGGCTGAACACCGCCCGAACGGCCCCCCAGAGGCCTCAAAGACGGCCCAAAAGACCTCGAAGTTCTCCAGGAAGGCCCCAGGAAGCCAAACACATTGATTTTCGATACGTTCTGCTCGGTTTTTGGCATTTGCGTGTTTTCACCTTTCCGACGGCCCCATACGGATCGGAAGGCTCCCAAGATCGCCCAAGAGGCTTCGAAGGTGGCCTCATGGCGTCCCATGCGGCCCCCAAGACGGCCCCAACAGAACCCCTAGACGGCCCCACATGCTTCCAAAACGTCCAAGAATGCCTCCAGAACTCCCGAGAAGTGCCCTAGGAGGGCACCAAGACAGCCCAGAGATCTCCCCAAGACGGCCTCAAAGAGTCAGTCGGGCCAAGACAACTCTAAAACGGCCCAAAAGCCTCCAAGACGCCCCCACAGAGCGCGAAGAGCTCCCCAAAAAACCTCAAAAGGCGCCCGAAACCCTCCCCAGAGATCCCAATACGCCGCAAGAGTTCAACAAAAGCTCCCTCCCCGTCCTTCTCCCCGATTCTCCCCCCCCTCCTCCTCCTTCCCCTCCTCCTCCTCCTCCTCCTCCTCCTCCTCCCTCCTCCTCCTCTTCCTCTTCCTCCACCTCCTCCTCCTCCTCCTGCTCCTTGTGCTGCCTGAAGGTTTTCCATAACGCCTCCGCACCACATGGTCCGATAATTTGGGCAAGCTCTGGCCCAACTTTCGGCCACATAGACGCTTCCAATAAAGGCATGGGGCCGGCCGTGATTTGCCGTAGGCGTCTCCGATACCTTTTTCGCGCTCTACCCTGCGAAGCTCGTCAGAAAGGTGACGCTTTAACGAACGTGCCATGACTGCGACCTTGCCAGTGCAGCGGCTTCCAAAAACCCTTGATCGAGCTCGAGAGCAAAATGGCAACAGCGTGGTCATCATTGTCGACCGCAACCCGCTCGCTCTGGCGTTTCACTTGCGATGTTCTGTGTCGGGGAGCATTGCGCTTTGGTCGACGGTGCTCACGTTGGTCAAGGCTTGCTGTCTGCTTGCGGCAACGTAGCCCCAGGAGAGCCTCCAAGGCCTCCAAGAATCCAACTAGAAGGCCCCAAGAGAACCTCAGGAGCATCCCCCCGCACGGAAACTCCGGGTTCCCAAAAAAGTGGGGCGGCGGTGTCTGCCCCCTCAGGGGCGTTCAATTGAATAAAACAAGAAGAGGCGCCATGAAATCCGCCGACCCCTTGGGGTTCTTCGGCGTGTGAGATGTCCCCCCTCCCCAAACCCCTCCCCCGGGAGCCCGGTCCGGTCGATTTGGAGGGGGAGGGGGGGGTTCGGATGCCCCGGATGGCCCCGGAGGGGCCATCCGCTCCCGAAAATCGTGGAAAACCTCATGAAAAATCGTGCAGGGACGCCTCTGGCGGCCTCGAAATGGCTCCAGGACGCCCAACGAGCGCTCCAAGACGCCCAAGGTGGCCCAAAGACGGGCCACGAGGCCATCTCGACGGCAGAAGAGGTCCCCACGAGCCCCTCAGAGGCCTCCGAGATGCGCCCCAAGTGGGTCCCTAGACGCAAAAGTTGGCCCATTCCCTTCGTGAAGCGCACATGTTTCACAAATTCGGCTTCTGAGTTTTCCGATGCTCCCCGACGGCCCAAGAGGCCCCCAAACCCGCCCCCAGACGGCTGAAGAAGCCTCCAAGAGGGTCCCCCACACACACCCCTAGAGGGCGCCAAGACGGGCCCACGAGCGTCCAAGACTGCCCAAGAGGGCTCCGAAAACGGCCCCAAGAACGCCAGGAACGCTCCGAGTGGCCTCCGAGAGAGCTCCACAATGTCCCAGACGGTCCAGGAGCAATCAAAAACATCGACGACGGCCTCCAGACGGTTCAAGAGGCCCCCAAGACGCCCCAAGAGGCCTCCAAGATGCCCTCCAAAAGGGCTCCTAGACGCAAACAGTCGCCCCTTCCCTTCGTAAAACTTAATTTTTCCACACGTGCGCCATTTGGGTTCCCCCCCGCTCCTGGGCGGCCCCAGAGCCCCCCAAACCCGCTCCCACAAGGCCCAAGAAGCTTCCAAGAGGGTCCCCAAATAGCCCTAAATGACCCCAAAACGGGCCCACCGGCGCCCAAGACGGCCCAAGAGGGTTCCGAAAACGGCCCCAAGAACGCTCCAGGAGCGCTCCGAGTGGCATCCAAGAGAGCTCCACATGGTCCCACACGGTCCCAGAGCGATCGAAAACGCTGCCGACGGCCTCCAGACGGCTCAAGAGGCCCTTAATACGTTCCAAGAGGCGTCCAAGCTGCGCCACAAGACGGCGTCGAGACGCAAAAGAGTCGCTCGTTCCTTTTGTATAACGTATAATTTTGTTTCACACGTGCGCCTTTTGGGGTGCCCCCTGCTCCTGGACCGCAAGAGCCCCCAAAGACCGTGCCACGACGGCCCAAGAAACCTCGAGGAGAAAACTCCGACGGAACGGCATTCCAAGAAAACTCCGGCCACATATATATATATATATATATATAAAGCGACCTGCAGACGCCCTGCAGTCATCGCTGCGGCTGCCGCGCGCCCCACATGGACGGGGGCCCTGCGCGCGCGCAGCAAGGGCCGAAACTGGCTACGGAAGCTGAGGCAAAGAGGATGGGCGGCCTCACTACGCACCGAGGATGCTTCCTCTTTCCTCACCACTTCCACCTTTGGGAGGGAATGGGCCTACCTGGCGCCGAATGAACACACCACGAGCCCATTCTGGAACCAAACACCACGCTGTCGAGTGGCACCGCGCAGTGCCACCTCTGTGCACGCATGCCTGCCCGTGTTATGTACGCGTGTGTGTATACTATAGGATTGGATGTGTATAAGTAAATATAAATAGATGCATATGTAGATATACTATTATTGAATATATATATATATATATATATATATACATATACACGTAACATATGAAGATTCGCGCGACGGCCTGGTTCGGCGGCTGCTGAGGGTGGGCCTGGTGCGACGCAGCAGCGGCCGGCGGCGGTTTGTCGCGGCGACATGGGGGGCTCCACCGAACACGATACTCACAGCAACAGCGTTCCTCAGAACTGCAAAACGTTGGGTTTCTTGTCGCGTGGCTGGAAGGAGGAGGATCGCGATCCCTCTGGGCGTGCTCCGTGTGCCAGCAGTCTGGTGGCGATGGAGGTCCTGACTATGTCGACGGTGACGGCTGCGACACAGTGCACGAGTAAGACCACGCGCGAGATAGCGTGAGACAGAATGTTGGTGCTGAAAGGAACCCCCCCAGGGCTTACCAGGAGTCCCAAGGGGTCGGCGGTGCGGCGTAAGCCCATGAATCTGGGGAGATATCATGGCCCCCGCCATGATATCCCCCCCCCTAGTCATCACCCCCCTCTTTGCCGCCTCCGATCTAAAGCTGGATTGTCTTCCTCGATCCTCGTCCGGGACCCGTGCGAGGTCGCCCTCGGGCACCGCGGCCGTGGCCGCCTCCCACTTGGCGGCGGCGCCCTTGCCAACGCACTGCAGGGCGACGACCGGCCCGCCGTCGTTCACGAGCCTCTGGGCAGCGTTTCACCGATCCCTGCAGGCAAAAGCGCACAGCAGGGATGCGCGACAAGGGTGCGCGGGCCTGGGAAAGCCACGTTGGCGTTTCTCGAACGGGGCAGGGATGTGCCGAAGGGGCAAGGGTGGGCCGAGGGATGCAAGGATGGGGCGCAGGGGCAAGGATGCAAGGGTAGCCTTGGAAAGTTGCTCATCCTGACTATGCGTTTTGACTGTATCCCCACTGGCGTGGCCTGGGCCCCACTGGCCGATCTACCCCCTAGATAATATGATACAGGATTTAAACAAACAAAAAAAATCTAGGGCTACAGGGCTATGGGGCTATAGGGCTCTAAGGCTATGGGGCTATAGGGCTGGAAGGCTATAGGGCTACAAGGCTGTTGTGCTATAGGGCTATTGGGCTATAGGGTTATAGGGCTATAGGCTAAGTATAAGGCTATAGGGCTATGGGCTACAAGACTGTAAGGCTACAGGGCTATAGGGCTGTAGGGCTACCGGGCACCCGGGCGTGCCGCCGAAATCGGCGCCACTGCTAACCTGACCATATGAATCCGCTAGGACCCCTACAGAGGCAAGCTCTTGGGGATCAGGCTGCCCCCTTCGGGTTTCGAGGGGTGTATCCCCATCTGGGGCGGTGTTATGGCGGGGCTGAGGTATCATGGCCCGACAGGAATGGGAACTGGCTAAAAGATACCGAGCCTCAGCTTCGTCATGACCAGGCCGGCGCCCTCGATGGCACTGAGGATGGAGCCTATAGAGGAAAACAACAATGCACTGCGCCGACACAAACATCCCTGAGATCCAGGCGCTGCAGTCTTCTTCGCACCGGGCGCTTTCGCTCAATTTCGGGCCTGGGACTCTCACAGCTCGACCGGGCTCGAAAAACTGCGCAGCGAGATGGGGCCTGGGGCTCCAGCCGTGATTTCTCGAGATGCTGTGTTTTTTTTTTCAATACGGGGTCCCTGAGTCGTTTTTTGACGGTCCCGAGGCCGGGTAAGGGCTCCTAGAAGCCGAGAATAGCGAATAGACCCTCGTCGTGATTTTTTCAATACGTTCGATCTCTGGGACCCGCCCCGCCTCGGGGGGGCATTTTTTCCGCAGCGTCGGCTCCAAGGGCTTCGGAGCTCCACACCGATCCCGTACCTCGGCGCTGAACCCCCCACGGGCGGCGCCGGAGACGCCGCCAGAGGGGCGCCGCGCGCCAGTCCAAGGAAAATTCGCGCGGAGCTCCGAAAATTGATGTTCATACAGTTTGAGGAGGAGGAGGAGGAGGAGGAGGAGGAGGAGGAGGCGAGGGGAGGAGGAGGAGGAGGAGGAGGAGGAGGAGGAGGAGCAGGAGGAGGAGGAGGAGCAGTTTGGGGGAACCAAACAATGCCGACACCGCTGCTCCCCAGACCTCTCCAGGGGCGATTGCGGACCAGCACTTCGAGGCGAGTCCGGCGGTGGCTACGAGACCTCCCAGGAGGCCAACGGGCAGCGGTGTCGGCACAGTTGCCTCCCCCGACCGTTGCGTAGTCTTCGAGCCTAGTCTCGGGAAGGCCCGCGGCGAGGTCAGCGCGCTGAAAGTTTCGCGCATGCTCTCGATCGCGTTCCTTTGGCGGCGCGCACAAGGGGGTGGAGGGAGGGGGGAGGGCTTCTTAGAAGGAGGCTGCTTCTTAGAAGGCGCCGGCCTTACATCTATAGACAAGGCCCGCACCTTCTAAGAAGCAGGGGTGCTTCTAAGAAGCCTTCCCCCCTCCCCCTACCCCCTTCTGCGCGCGACTGACTCCTGGTCCGCTCGTCCAGGTAAGAGGTCAGCTTCATCTGCCTCGCCTGGATGGTGACCGTGCCACCGAGGTGGAAGTCCTCCATGCGCAGGTCGGGTTGTGGCGTCCGCTTGAGGAACGAGCGCCTCGACTTGATGTCGAAGATGGACACCTCCACCGGCTGCCCCGCCTGCTTCGGCACGAACAGCGTAAGCTCGAACTTGATCGTCATCTCGGCCTGCGGCGAGAACCACTCCGCATTGAAGGCATACGTCGCGACGTCGGCGAACGACATGGCCCGGGGCCGCCAAGAGGTGAGGGCGGGACAGGGCGCGAGGTCAGAGCTAGAGGAGGAGAACGCGGCAAACACCTGAGCTGCTGGAGGTCTGGCGCCGGTCATCTCCACGCCCGCGCGCGGGCAACCCTGGAGGAGGGCAGCCAACTGATGCGCGGCCCAGAAACGCGAGCCACGGCCCGGAGCCCTGCGTCAAAAACGCCCACAGGGTCGTCGATCCTGGAAGACCCTGTGGGCGAGATGCGGGGCCCATATCCCCGTCGAGGGGGCCACTGCTCCCTGGCCATCTCTCCCAGGGTGTGTCGTGACCAAGACGTCGAGGAGAGTCCAGCCGTGGCGACGAGGGATGGGCAGCGGTGCCGGTATCCGTTCCTTCCTCCGACCCCTCTGACAGGAGGAGCATCAGCAGGGGCACGAGCTGCCCGAAGGATTGCAAAAAAACGAAGGATTGCAAAAAAAACGAAGGATTGCAAAAAAACCCTTCGTTCAAGGATTGCAAAAAAACGAAGGATTGCAAAAAAAAAGCATCCACAGGGGCACGAGCTGCCAGGGGCCCGCGCGGAGGTCGTGGATCGGCAAAGGGCCCCCCCACAGGCATGTCGGCTCGCCGAACCCTGGGGTACGACGCCGCGAGAAACATGCAACACCCAGACCTCCTCCTCCTCCTCCTCCTCCTCCTCCTCCTCCTCCTCTTCCTCCTCCTGCTCCTCGCTCCTCCTCCTCCTCCTCCTCCTCCTCCTCCTCCTCCCCCTCCTCCCCTTCCCCCTCCTCACTAGCTCGCCGAACCCTGGGGTACGACGCCGCGAGAAACATGCAACACCCAGACCTCCTCCTCCTCCTCCTCCCTCCTTCCTCCTCCTGCTCCTCGCTTTCTCCTCCTCCTCCTCCTCCTTCTCCTCCTCCTCCTCCTCCTCCCCCTCCTCCCCCTCCCCCTCCTCACTAGCTCGCCGAACCCTGGGGTACGACGCCGCGAGAAACATGCAACACCCAAATCCCATCTTCCTGCGGCACCTCTCGAGCCGCACCGACCTGCGCGGTGGCCCGGGGGCCCGCAGCTGCCCGAGAACGCGCGGCGCGAAAAGGGAAGGCGACGCCCAGATCTCGGGGCCATTGCCTCCTCCGACCACTGCCGCCCTTGAGCATCGTTTGACCGATCCCCATCCCCAGCGGCGTGGCCTGGGCCCCACTGGCCGATGTACTCCCCTGGAAGGGGATGAGGGCCGCTCCCCTCGGGCTTCCAGGGGTGCATCCCCAACTGGGGTGGCAGTCTGACGGGGGTCTCCGTGGGGATGGGGCCGGGAACAGGGATTGGCCGAACGATACCGAGCCCTCCTGCCCCACCCCCTCTGGGAGCCCTGGGATGGCCCCTAGAGGCGTGCGCGGCCAGGCGCAGGGCGGGGGCACGGACGCGCTCCCTCCCGGCAGCTGGGCGGGCGCGGGCTGGCGCGCGCGGGGGGGCCGGCTGCGGGCGCGGGCTGGCGCGCGCGGGGGCCATCCGCTCCTGCTCCTGCTCCTGCTCCTGCTCCTCCTCCTCCTCCTGGTCCTCCTGGTCCTCCTCCTCCTCCTCCGCCGCCTCCTGCGGGTCCCGCTCCCAGAACTACAGTAAGCCCGTATAGTGAGGATGCGCGGTAAGGATGCAAGGGCCTTGGAAGGCCACGTCGATACTTTTCGAGCGGGGCGCGGCCCACGAAAGCGGCCAAGGATGGACCGAGGAGGCAAGGATGCAAGGGTACCCTTGAGAAGGTGACCCTTCCCTACTATGCGGGTTGACTGTATAGCTCGCTTTGCGAAAGCCCATTCCCTGGCCGAAAATGGTCGGTCTTGTACTGTCTGCAAGTCCAGTGCTTCGAAGCATGCGAGGTACTCCTGGCTAAAAAGCGCTGGTTTTGCTCTCGAGAGCGTTGACGGTAGGTTTCTCAAGCTCCCCCGAGGACGAAGTATGCGTAACGCTGGAGGTTGGGCCCACCCCTTGCATAAGTTTCATTGCCATTTTCATATTGGTATCTGTTATTGTCGCACATGTGGCTATTTCGGCCAGCATCAGCTCAAGGGTCTAGGGAAACCATGCAACCTGCCTCTGGCCAGGACTCATCGAGAATATCTCGACAGCATTGATCGTGATTTCATGCCCAAATCCTGAGCAATCGTCTCTCTTCTACTCGCTCTTGTAAAGGCGGTAATTTTGATAATCCTCCTCCTACTCTTCCTCTGCCTCCATTCCTTTTTCTTCTAAATACTCTCTCCCTGTCGCAACCAGAGGCCAGCTTTCAGGGCGGGCCAGGCGTTTCGCCTGAGACTTCCTCACCATGTATGACTCTGAAGCTTAAACATTCGTAACAGTTTCACAGATGGGAGGGCGGGCCGCTTTCACAATGTGGCTATCGCCTGAACGCCGAGCATATTCTGTTTGAGAAATTGCAAGACCTTCACGGATTGAGGGCGGGCCGTTGTCAATATGTGGCTACCGCCTTAACGCCGCGCACATTCGTTTCAAACATTTGCAAGAGCTTCACTGGTTGAGGGCGGCCCGTTTTCAAAATGAGGCCCTCGCCTTAGCGCCGCGCGCATTCGTTCTAAAAAATGCAAGGGCTTCACGGATTGAGGGCGGCCCGTTTTCAAAATATGGCTCTCGCCTGAGCGCCGCGTACATTCGTTCTACACAGTTGCAACGAGCTTCACGGATTGAGGGCGGTTCCTTTTCGAAATGCGGCTCTCGCCTTAGCGCCGCGCGCATTCGTTTTAACCATTTACAATAGTTTCACGCGTTCCGATGATCAGCGTATCAGAAATAGTGCTTTGGAAAGATGAGGATGCACCAATTACGTTGATTCGCTGTGCTGAAGTCCCAGGAACGGCTTTCTGGCACGATTCAGGATCGTCAAAACGCAACAATCAGGTTGATCAGTGGCGTTGGAATCCCGAAAGCCAATGTTCTGGCATGGTTTAGGGTCTTCAAAAGGTTTTCTTCCAAAGAGACAGTTCGCTGTCGAAATGAACCGCTGTAGGGGCCTATGAAGAGGGAGCTTGGAGGGAGGGTGTACTCCATCATCTCTGCTGACTTTGGGGCTTATACTGGTCCTCCTCCTCCTCCTCCTCCTCCTCCTCCATTCCTTTTCCTTATGAATAGCTTCTCCCTGTCGCACCCCGAAGCGATTTTTTGGGGCGGGTCAAGCGCTTCGCCTGAGACTTCCTCACCATTGATGAACCTGAAGCTTACACATTGACCTGGCCATCGCTCGGACATCCATTCACTGTGTTTTTTCTCGGTTTCGTGCGTGTTTTTCTCGCCAAATGATCAAGGATGCTCCTCGATGGCCCTCGCCAAAGGAAAAATGCACCCGTCCGAGCGATGCCAAGGTCCTGTCCAAAACGAACAGGAACCGCTGTTGGGCGCTGTATCCATTCTTTCCGTACCCATTTCGGGCGTCCAAACAGCAGCTCAGCCGCCCGTGGGGGCGAGTCGAGTCGAGTCCGAGGAGAAGGAGGAGGAGGAGGAGGCGGAGGAGGAGGAGGAGGGGAAGGAGGAGGAGGAGGAGGAGGAGGAGGAGGAGGAGGGCGGCCCGTTTTCAGACCGTGGCTCTGGTCTTAGCGCCGCGTGCCTTCGCTCGACACAGCTGCAGGGAGCGTCACGGACTGAGGGCAGCTCCTGTTCGAGAGGCGGCTCTCGCCTTCGCGCTGCGCGCAATCGTTTTGAGCATGTACAGGAGCTTCACGGATTCCCATGATCAGCGTACTAGAAATGGTGTTTTTCAGGGATGGACAGACCTCCCTTTCGTAAAACGTGGTTCAGTGAAAAGGACCTGAGGCCCAAACCTGGCGGGCGCAGGACCGGAAAGTAACGGCCACGGCGCCCTCTCGAGAACCGAAAACGCACAATTCACCAATCGACGTGTCCCTGCTGGGGGCTCTGTCCAGTCCCGAGTTTTGGACGGATTCAGGATTATGGAGGAGAAGGAGGAGGAGGAGGAGGAGGAGGAGGAGGAGGAGGAGGAGGAGAGGGCGCAGCAATGACATCGATGCGCAGCGTTGGAGTCCCGGGAGCGGCGTCCCGGCACGAGTCGGGGTCGCCAGAGCGCAGTCGGGCTGATCCGCGGCGCTGGCATCCCGAAAGCAGTGTTCTGGCATGCGCCGAGGTCTCCTCGCAGCTGTCTTCCAACGAGGCAGTTCCCTCAGCGGAGATGATTGGAGGCCTGGAAATTGGCACCAACACCAGCACAGGGGTTTGCCTCCACAGGGAGATGATGATCTTAGATTTCGGTGTTGGTGGTAATATTTCGGTCACCTTGGGAGCCAGAATATTACCACCATCACCGAGATCGGGATCGTCTTCCCTCGGTGGAGGCACACCGCCGATCTTGGTGTTGGTGTCAATCTCTAGGACTCCGAAATGAACCGCTGTAGGGGCCTATGAAGAAGGAGCTTGGAGGGAGTGTTTAATCCAACGTCGCTGATGACTCTTGGGTTTACACTGGTCCTCCTCCTCCTCCTCCTCCGCGATTCCAGCGGTGGCGATTCCTGACTCCCCCCGAAAAAGAGGAGGCCCAAAAAGGGGGAAAACGAAGGAGGGGTAGTGGCATGGAGTACCTTTTCCTGGGCGGAGGCACCTGCGTGGGGTCAGACATGCGCGCGGGGGCGCGATCGCGGGCCGCGCCCTGCGCTAGCCGCCGCGACGAAGGAGCGGCCGTGGGGCGCGCGCCCGCGCACGGGCGCCCCCTCCCCGCAGCGCCGAGTGCCGCGGCGGCACCCTAACAGTACTATCATTGAATTTTGAACGTGCTCTTAAACATGTCTTAAACATGTTTGAAACATTCTTTAGACATATGGAAAATACTTGGCAGCATGCTTCCTCTCCACTAATCGACTTCCACAAGGCTCGTGTGACTTTCCCAGAAACCGCGAGCGCGTGGCTCGGGACATGCGTGTCCAACATGGGCAAAAATGGCCCCGAGGACCGCCCTGGAGCCCTCGCGGGCGCCCCCTGGGCCGCCCCGGACGTCCTGGAGGCGGCCCCGGAGGCCCAAATCGTCAAAATCCTTTGGTCGTGTTCTGATTTTGCCATGCACCGCCTTAGCCCAGAGAGGGACCCAAGAGGGAGAACACGACCTGATATCTGGGCCCTCCGCCCAAGTTGGC